GGGGGGGGGGGGGGGGGGGGGGGGGGGGGGGGGGGGGGGGGGGGGGGGGGGGGCCTCCATTTTTTCATGGGGGTTCGGGTACGGGTTGGGGATCGGGTCTATGTGAACTGCATTCTCAAATCGTCCCCTCATTGTAGCTACTGTGGGTTTTCAGTATTCAGTTATCCTCACTCAACGCGTCTGTGTGTCCGGCAATCTCCAATACAAATCTACCTGTGAGGTTTCAGTATGCAGCTTTTTACACACAATGCGTCTATGTGTCCGGCAATCTCCAACACAAATCAACCTGTGAGGTTTCAGTATGCAGCTTTTTACACACAATGCGTCTATGTGTCCGGCAATCTCCAACACAAATCAACCTGTGAGGTTTCAGTATGCAGCTTTTTACACACAATGCGTCTATGTGTCCGGCAATCTCCAACACAAATCAACCTGTGAGGTTTCAGTATGCAGCTTTTTACACACAATGCGTCTATGTGTCCGGCAATCTCCAACACAAATCAACCTGTGAGGTTTCAGTATGCAGCTTTCTACACACAATGCGTCTATGTGTCTGGCACTATCCAACATCACTCAACTCGTGAGGTTTCAGTATGCAGCTATCCCCACTCAACGCGTCTGTGTCTGGCAAACTCAAAAACAATCCATCTGTGAGGTTTCAGTATACAGCTATAGTCACTCAATACGTCTATATGTCTGGCAATCTCCTACATTACTCATCTTGTGAGGTTTCCGTAAACAGCTATCCCCACTCCACTCGTCCATGCGTCACGCGTCTTTGGTAGCGCATACTATGGGGGCTACGTTTGGGGTGGCGTGTTTTACAGCGCTTTGCCAACAGCGCCAACCCACCCAAGTCGACACCGGGGGTGTGAGTGGGGGGGAGGGGGGTACTGAAATTCTGCATGGCTTAGCGGTGGTGACTACACGTCCTCGAGAGCATTGTTTTCCGACGGGGGGGTTGTCGTCAAGCGTCCGACGATCGGTTGCTTGATGGTGTGCCGTCAGGGCGAATGTGTGCGCTTGCAAAAAATGGATAGAGGCATTTCATAGGCCCCGAGAACTAGGTATCACAGGCAGGTCCAAGAGCACGTGGGCGTGAACGTGACAACGGGCGGGTGGGGGGAAGCAATTGCAGTGGAGGCGGTCCCGATAGAATGCCGGTACGTGTCAAGCCCATGCAACAGGCACCATAACGGGCACCCGTACGAAACAACTTGGACATGCCGTCTGTGTCATGCGATTTAACCGGCATTTCTTCTGGCTGCCCCGCACTATTCAACCGGCACTGTACGCATCTCCATGGCACCGAAATCCACAACAAATCCCTCCTCAACCCCGCCCAACGGCAGACACAACGTTGTTGTAACGGTAAACTGGGCTGCATCTTATCCCACGCGCTAAACATGTCGCACACCTGTCTGAGATATTTGCCGCCCCACCCGCATCGGAAGCAGCGCTCCCCGCCCCCCCACCAGAAGTGGAGCCCCCCCCCCCCGGCGACCGGCCGAACGCATTGCCGCCGCTCCCAGCGTCCACCACGCGGAGCTCCATAGCGGTGCTGCCGGCGGCGGCGGCAGCGGCGGCGGCGGTGGTGTCGTTGGAGCCCGCGATGACCGATAGGTTGGACGGAGACGGGGCCGGAGACGGCACGCCAAGGGTGCCGACCGAAAACGTGGAGGTCGTCGGAGAAGAAAGGGAGTGGCTACGGGTGGCGGTGCCGTCGCCTCCGCCGGACATGTTTAACAGTGGCGCTAGTTTTTGACGCTCCTGGTTAGGAAGTGGACGGTGGATGTGGAGAGAGAGAGAGACAGAGAGGTAGACACCGACAGACAGACAGACAGACAAAGATACAGACAGAAAGACAGACAGATTTGGTCCGAGAGTTGGAACCCGAGGCAGAAAGACACCAAACGGGTATGCAACGGATACACGCAGCACGTACGTCAGCTGAGAAAAAGAAGACGTGGCTCTCTTTGCGGCAACACGCCGTGAAGCCCGCCTGAAACACCCCTCCAACACCAGTCATCGCGGTCAACAGAGAAGGCTGCGCTGAGAGACAACCACCCTCTGACCCCCCGGAGCGCACATATCCACAAGCTGACAAGCACATGGCAGCTGTACCCGGTTAGATCACAAGGCGAGAAAGAACGGAAAGTGTAGCGCTTCCTCTCTAGTCAGTCTACATACGAAAACCGACATCTAACCCCCCCCCCCACACACAAAACTCACCTGAGACGGAGAAAAAACGCCTTCGAAGGTAAGCCCCGTCAAGGACAAGGGGTCCGGCAAGCCTTCCAAGGCACGGGAACGCGCCTCCCAGCCCGTACTCACAGCCACCGCCGCTGGCCCTGAACCAACCCCAACCCCACCCCCAGACGCCACCGTATTGGTTGTTCGCGGGGGCGTCGTCGTCGACAAGAGCGGGCTGGGCGGGGGGGGGCGCGGAATCGTCCCCTGGGGCGGACCAGAAGAGGGGGCGCCCGTAGATGTCCCTCCTGGGGGGGGGTTCCAGGCGGCACTGGCGGGGGCGGGGGAGGGTCCCGACAGCACCGCTTGCCCCGGCCCGCCTCCTCCTGCCGGATTGGTGCCTCCCGTTGTGGTTCCGTGACTTCCGGGTACTGGTGTTGTTCCGTCAATCTTAACGACGATTTTAAGGGGGGGGCGTGGGGGCGACAGAAAGCGGAGGCGAATTCGAAAGGTGTGCTTGTGTGAGAGAGTAGTGTGTCGTGATCGCTGCTGGATGACAACGCTGCTGTCCCATGTGCAATACATTAGACAACGGTTTTGGCTAGGGGAGTGCCACAACGGTTTTGGCTAGGAGGGAGGCACTCCCTGCAGCATTCAGCTCGGGAGAGCACCGGCGCCGGCAGCAGACAAACATATGCCAACGAAACAACGAGACCAACAACATCAAAAACTCACCGCCATTGACGAAGAGGCAGGAGACAGCATCGACGGCAATGCCTCCGCCGCCGCCGCCGGCATCGTCTCGCCGCACCCGGTCCCCCTGAGCGCCCCCGGCTGCGCCGCAACAGCAGGGGCGGCAGCCTGCGAGGCCACGGCAGCCACCAGGGGCGACGTCTCACGCTGCTGCTGCCAGCTGACGCTAGGACCCTCCTTGGCTGATGACGATCCGGCACCAAACACCACGCCGCTGAGCCCCCCTTCCCCCCCCGAAGCCCCCCTCGCCTCCGCCTCCTCCCACTCGGTGGCCATCGCTCCCCACGACGCGTCGAAGTACCCGGTCTTGGCCGAGTCCAGCGTCGCGATCCGCGGGAGCATGTGCTGCTGCTGCTGCTGCTGCTGCTGCTGCTGCTGCTGCCGTGCGACCGCCGCGGGCGGCGGCGGCAGAACCGGTTGCGTTCCCGCGGAGGAGGCCGCGACAGGCACCCTCCCCGTAGCCACGCTGCTCGTCGCCGCCATCGTACTTGCCGTGGACGGAGCCTGGGTCGGGCCGGCGGCCCCGGTAGCAGTAGTCGACATCGCCGCCGCCGCCGCCAGCGGCGGGCGAAACGACGCTCCCGTCAATGGAGCGAAGCTGGTCGCGGCCGGAGGTGAGGCCATCGAGGACGACCCAGCCGTACCGACCTTCTCGCCAGTTGAAGGGATCAGCGCCGAGAGCGGCAGCCCTAGCTGCTCCGACAACGGTAGCAACCCGTCCCCCCTTCCCCGGCCCCCGCCCCCCCCCGGGGAAAGAGAGGCGAGAGCCGGAGGCGCGCTCCCCCTGGGCATCCCGCCGGGGCTGCTGCTGCTCAACCCGGGCAGCCTCGGCAGCGACGGCTGGTGCGCGTAGTGCTGTTGTTGCTGCTGTTGCTGTTGCTGCTGCTGCTGCTGCTGCTGCTGTTGCTGTTGTTGCTGTTGCTGTTGCTGTTGCTGCTGTTGCTGCTGTTGCTGTTGCTGCTGCTGTTGCTGCTGTTGCTGCTGTTGCTGCTGTTGCTGTTGCTGGTGCTGGTGCTGCTGTTGCCATCGCTGTTGTTGCTGGTACTGCTGGTCATACTGCCGCGGGGAAGAAGGCGGCATCTGCACGGCTGCCGACGTCGAGGCCTGCAGGTCGGCCACTCGCGCCGCGGCCGAGTAAGCCGCGGCGGCGGCGGCCACCGGCGCCGCGGGCTCAACCATCAACCTCCCCGGCAACCCCGCGCCGCCACCGGCCTCGATCTCCCTCTTCGGGGACAACGCCCCCCCTCCGCCCGTACGCCGCCCCCCTTCCATCGCCGCCGCCCTTGCGACCATCGTCGGAGGCGCCACAACCTGGCCCGGCACGCCGTAAACCGCCTGGTTGTTGCCGCCGCCTACGGGCGAGCGATTCGTGGAGGTCGCGGCCGACACCCCGCCGCCGTCGAACCTGCCGCTACCACCGCCGCCGCCGCCCCCGCCCCCGCCCGCCCCCGGGTTCCACGGGATGCCGAGTTGAAACGGGTCGATCGGAAAAGACGCGGTGAGCGATGGCAAGACGGCCGGCACGGCCGGGGTCGCCATCTTGGTGTGCCGCGCCATGGCACGCCGCATCACCGATGAGCAGAAGCACGGGGCTGGCGCGCTTGTTAGGACGGATAGACAAACAGGCAAGAGCGTACGAAAATAAAAATAAAACAGCGATCGGTCACGCAAATGGGTAGGGACGGAGGATGCGACGGAGGAAACCACGAGACTGAGCGGGAGAGTACGACGAACACAACACAGAAGGGTTGCGGAAGATACTCCTCACCGGCGGGGGCGGGGGGGGAGGGGGGGAGATCCCTCCATGCTGCCACATGGCACCTTGAACTCCCACTGGTCTCAGGGGATCACAATAACGAACATATGTTACACCTTTCCGCCATGACGTTGCTGCGGAACCGTACACGTCCCAGGTTCGAACAATCAACCATGTGATGAGGACTCCGAATCTACCGAGAGTGCCGTGAGAGTGGATGGCGTGATGGCGAGTTGTTTCCGTCCCGCACGGTCGTTACACAGAAAAACTTCTAGTTGCAACAGCCGCCAACATCAACACGCCAGCTACAAGCATAAGCGTAACAGGGTACAAGGGGAGCACGCCCGTCAAGTGAAATGATGAAAAATGGCGCCCGGGGTTACGCTAGATATACAAGATGGCCACCGCATTGTCTTGTTCAGCCTGTTGCCCAACAAGGGGAGACACCGCCATATGCTGCTCGGAGACAAGAGTAGAAACACAGGTACTGCCATGGTGTGCGCGCTAGCGCTATGGATCGGTTGCTAATTTATCACGAACTCTTTAGGGAGATGAATCGGTTGTGTTGTTGTAAGACAAGAAATGAAGAACCCCTTTCGACTATGAATGCATCTCGAACGGTTGTATTAGTCTGCGTTTTATGTAGATATCTTTTCTAAAGATAGAGAGGACGCCGCGCCAGTGCCGTTTGCAACCAGGCTCTTACCCGCCATGGCTCTCGCTGGGAGGGTGCACGTCCATCGGCCACCCGGCCGACTGCTCCACCGTGTTATAGTCCGACTTCACCAGCCCAAGTGCGATCAGCACGTCAACCACCAGCCGGACGTTCACCATGTGAGACTCCGACCAGTTTGCCACGGGAAGGCCGGCGGCTGCCCGACCGGCGTCCATGTCGGAGCGGACGGACTGGGTTCGATTCAGGCGGCGAAACGTTCGGCGGACCAAGAGCGCGCGCGGGGGGAGGGGGGGTGGGGAGGGGAGGGGAGGGAGGTACTCTTATATTTTGCATGCCTTAGCCGTTAGACCTCGAGACAACGGAGCCGGAGCAGGGGGGGGG